TATTAAAATATGTTCATTCTTTGTCTTTTTATAAAAGTCTTATAACCTTACTTTCTGGATAACCCTTGTATTATTATTATTATTATTTGATACATAACAAGATTAGTATATAGCAAACAAGGTCACTATGCTGTTATTTGTATTTGATCACATGTCGGACACTTCCCAAGTGTCTACGACTGTGTGATGCATTGGTGAATGAATAATGCTTTCAGATCCCAGTAGGATGGCCTTTTGCAGCTGGCAGATGGTCATTTTTGTCCGTGCGGATTGTTTTTAAATACAGGCCAAGCTCTTTATGCACTGCACCCAATATGCCAATTACCACTGGGACCACCTTTACTGGATTATGCCAGTGTCTTTGCAGTTCTATCTTTAAATCCTCATATCATGTAAGATTTTCCAGTTGCTTCTTGTCAATCCTGCTGTCACCTGGGATTGCATCATATATGATTCATACTTGTTTTTTCCCCACAATCATGCTGTCAGGAGTATTGTGCTCCAAAACTCTCTCAGTCTGAACTCGGAAGTCCCAGAGTAGTTTGATGTTTTCATTTTCCATTTTGCAGTACCTTCACAGTGAGTGAAGGTACTGCAAATCCTATCATCCAGGGTGCATACCACCCCAAGTCGTAAAATGGGTCATGGGTGTGTGTGTGTGTGTGTGTGTGTCATGTTTGGTCCTAATCCATCATTTGTGTGGGGGGGGGGGTGAGGGAAAGTACTGCAAATCCTATCATCCGTGGTCCATCCTTCCCTAAACAACACCAGGATATAAAGTGCATCTTTGGGGTTATGTGTGCCAAGTTTGATCCAGGTTTGATATTTGTGGCCTGTGGAAGTGGGAGCCAATCAAAAACCAATGACATACATACAAACACAATACATTCAAACACTGAATATAGAGATGTATAGATGTATAGATATATAGAATACAGACAGATAGATAGATAGATAGATAGATAGATAGATAGAGATTTTTTAGATATAGATGTATTAGAGAGTGAAAAGGAAAAAAAATACAACTTTGTTGGTCAGTATTTTTTTAAATATTTTTAAATAATTTTTATTGAGGACAGCAAGATTAATTTAACATTTTGATAAAAATTCAATAAACATAAAAGTAAAGATGAAAAAAAGAGAGAAAGAAAAAAGAAGTTAAAAAGGGGGAGAGAAAAAACCCCAGCGTGGAATAATAAAAAATGACAACAGAGTTATGTCTTTGACTTCCATCTACTCCTTGGTGTTCATTGTTTTGTGTTCTGTTGACATTGTAAGCTGTTAATATATGTGAATAAAATTTATATTAAAAATGCCTCTTGGGTGAGTAGGTGCACCATCTCATAATGGGCCTACTTTGACCTTAAAAGGTATGCAATTGATCACATGGTGCCCATAAAGGTCAAAGGCCTACCTCTCAAGCTTACTTTGACCTTAAAAGGTATGAAATTGATGACATGGTGCCCAGAAAGGTCATGTGATGAATTGCATACCTTTTAAGGTGAGAGGTATGCAAATCTCCTGATAGTCCCACTCAGGCCCATTGTACGCATCACAATACCCCCAGTACCCCCTGAATGTATTTAAACCCTGGCCAGCCCTGGCTTCGTTGCAGACATTTCTTCGCTGCTCCCACGACGTACAGATCTTTGCTGCTCCTACGACATCCTTGAGAGAGACGACGATGAAGAAGACGACGAAGACCAAGAAGACACCTAGACCCAGAGACTCCTGGGTCTGGGCAGAAGACCCATTGAGATTACCCTCAATACCTTCCCTCTTGGGCCCTGACAAGGTCTCAGAGGTCATTCAGGTCCCACAGGGAAGGCCATCCAATACCACTACGGTGGAAGACCTGGCAGGTCCTTCGAAGAAGCTGAGGCGTCCTGTGTGGCAACTCACAGAGAAAAAGGAAGAAGAAGCCAAAATGCTTCGGGCGCAAATCCTAGCCCGCCAAGCTGAAGAGAAAGAGAAACGGGCAAGAGAAGCCCGAGAGAAAGCCCAAGCTAAACAAAAATGGAAAGAGCTCCACCTTTTGGATTACTGGCAAAGGAAAAAGCTAGAAAACAAGGAGACCGAGGAGCAGCGGAGGAGAAGAATGAGAGAGAAGGAGCTGGCGGCCGCAGAAAATCTTGAGCGGGAAGGGATTCGGATGCTGTTTACGGGGTCCGATTGGGTACGAACACCCTGTGAGGAGGGGGATCCCTTCCTGCTCAACAAGAGCCCGGAGAATCCGCCACAAAGCCGCCAGCCCTACTATTTAATCTCTGCTGCTCCGAAGGCCTCCCTCAAACTCCCTCCGATAGATCAAGGCAGTAGCCGCCAATGGCCACGACCACCACCTAAAGAACTAAAGAAATAAATATTTTTTTAAAATTTTGTTATGGTCCAAAGACTCTTATTTCATTGTAGGCGTACAAAGTATGCGGGTAATAGGATTAAGAACATCTAACTGAACTAGAAAGAACTGGAATAGAAACAACGACAAAACAGTTAAATATCTTGGAATCATTTTGACAGCAAAAAATTCCCAATTATTGAAAAACAATTATGAAATTAAATGGAAAGAGATAAAAAAAAGATTTAGAAAACTGGAGAAAGTGATAAGTTCTAATATGTCCAGTTTTCTATATCTTTTTCCTTTATATATTTCAATTTCCAAGAATTGCGGTCATTAAGATGAACATCCTACCTAAAATGTATATATTATGAAGCAGGGGGCTTGACATGGATAAAACACTGGACCAAGAATAAAGCTGTTGAACTTAACTGATGATAAAAAAAGAGGAGGATTTGGCCTGTCAGATCTAAAACAATACTATGGAGCAGGAGGCTTGATATGGATAAAAGACTGGGGCACTCTGAAGAATGCCAAAATAATTAATTTAGAAGGCTTTGACTTAAGAGCAGGATGGCACTCATATTTACAGTACCAAAAGAAAAAGACAGGGAAAAACTTTGGAAACCACTTTATCAGATCAGCTCTTATAAAAAATATGGGAAAAATACAGAGGAAGACTAATATACTAAAATTCCAATTTGGATTTCCCCACAAAAAGCAGATCAGAGAAGAGAAACAGCACAAGACAGCTGGTTAACATATAAAGGCATTTTGAAAAAAACAAGATAAGGAGTATATATTAAAATCACAGAAAGAACTAAATATATTGGATAACGGAGTCTCATGGTTTCACTATAGACAAATTAGAGAATATTATACAAAGGACGAAAAATGGCTTTATGGACAAAGAAACTTTTGGGACAAGATATTGAACACAGAAAGCAAAACAATATCAGAGGTCATCCAGCCTCTGTTTAAAAGCTTCCAAAGAAGGAGCCTCCACCACACTCTGTCCCGAAGTGTGGTGGAGGCTCCTTCTTTGGAAGCTTTTAAACAGAGGCTGGATGGCCATCTGTCAGGGGTGATTTGAATGCAATGTTCCTGCTTCTTGGCAGGGGGTTGGACTGGATGGCCCATGAGGTCTCTTCCAACTCTTTGATTCTATGATTCTATGATCTATAAGAAATTACTAGAATGGTCCACAGAAACAGAACTAATTAAAGATTGTATGGTCAAGTGGGCTGCAAATATTGGACACTCAATTAAATTAGAAGATTGGGAGAAAATGTGGAACAAGAAAATAAAATATACATATGCATTTGATTTAAAAGAAAATTAGCTAAAAATTATGTACAGGTACATCACACCTCAGAAATTGGCTAAATGTTATTCAAAAGTGAATGACAAATGCTGAACATGCGAAGAGCAAACTAGTTCATTTTTTCATATGTGGTGGGCTTGTAAAATTGCCAAGTCTTATTGGAAGAATATACACAAAAATAGAAAATAAAATGAAAATAGAATTAAAACCAGAATATTTCCTATTTGGATTAACAGATTTTGAAATGGAACTTAACAAGGACAAACTTTTCAACTATCTGGTGACTGCGTTGTCTGAATGCCCAACCACCGTCTCCCAAAACAGTTGCTCTACTCTGAACTCAAGAACGGAAAACAGAATGTTGGAGAACAGGAAAAGAGATTTAAAGATGTGCTCAAAGCCAACCTTAAAAACTGTGGTATAGACATAGAGAATTGGGAAGCCCTGGACCCTGAGCACTCTAGCTGGAGGTCAGCTGTGATCAGCAGTGCTGTAGGATTTAAAGAGGCATGAATGGAGGGTGAAAGAGAGAAACATGCCAGGTAGAAGGCATGTCAAGCCAACCCTGACTGGAACCACCTCCCACCTGGAAACCGATGCCCTCACTGCAGGAGAACATGCAGGCCAAGAATAGGGCTCCACAGTCACCTACGTACCCACCGCCAGTACAATGAACCTGGAAGACAATCTTACTCGATCAATGAGGGGTCACCTAAGAAGAAGAAGAAGAAGGGTGTAGGAGTTGGCCTCGTTGAGCTGAGTAATAGTGACACTGCAACAAGGTGTGTTCTAATTATTCTATTTCATTACTGCCGCACGAGCATAATCTTTCGGAGTAGGGGATGCCAGAGAGTCTGCCATTTAGCAGCTCTGATGGAAATGCATTTAGTCTTGCTTTTTTGAAGAGTCTGTGGTAATTCGACACTGTGAGGTTGTTAAGACATTTCCATAACTTGAATGGTTCAGATAACCCAGTTCAAAGCAGATATTGTGGGATTTTTCTGCCTTGATATTTTGGGATCTAGTGGTATGTGGAAGGGCCCTGAGAAAACATAAGCAACCAGTATTACTGGTAGGAGTGGGACATTAACACTGATCTTGCCATGTATCTAGATCCAAACAATCTACACATTGAAAATGTTATTGGTGACTTTTCTATCAATTATAATATTGTGTCTTAAAAGAAAACAAAACACACCGCTTGTGGTATATTTGATTTAGCTATATAGGTCAATTAAAGTTTACATTGACCCTTTATGAAATTTATAAACAAATTAGGCAAATACTTCACTTGTCTTTGGATTTGGGTCATTCCCATGTACAGAATAAAAAAAATGATAAAATGTACAAAGATTTAATACGACAATGCTGTTTTGAAGGTACAGTTTTAACAACATATACAGTTACAAACAAGGTTTAAGGAAGAACTGAAGCTAAACAATCTGCTCTAGAAGGGCTATACATGTGTTAAAATCAGTACAAATGCAACCTTAATACTTTTTAAGGAAGAGACTAAGTTGATCTGTTAAGACTCTCTTCCTGCAAAATCTCATCAGAAATGTATTTGGAATGAGTGGAACTCCAAAGTAAATCTCAAACTTGCTCATAAGACCTTTCAGTTAAGGTTTGTTAATGTCAGTGAATTTTCTCATAGATAGCAAGTGTGCATCTAGGGATGTCAACAGAAACCATCCTACTCTTGAAACATCTCTGGAAACTCTGGAAACATTGAATAACTGTAGCGATCAACATCCAATATGAATATTGTGCGAACATATTGTTTATGGAACAATTGCTTTACTCTCACTTTTTAGCTGGGTGTTAAAACAATTGTTAATAAACACTTATGACACATTATTGGTTCTTTAATGACATGGTGATGGTTCAAATACTGTATGTAAAATTTGCAATTTGGGGGTATATCGGGGCTGTGTTGCTGTGCAGAAAATAGCTTATCATATTGCATGGATACTTCTCCAGAGTTCCCAAACAGGATCATGTCAGTTCTTGTTGTTTTCTCCCAACTTAGAGAAGTCCAAAACTCTGGCAGTTTGATCCAGCAGGCTGTTAATAAGGGTTTGGAATGTTTTCGGATGATAGTTCATGGGATATCTGTGCAGATTTCAATAGCGTCCCTATTTCAAATGTTGTTATTTCGACTTCATTGCATTCTTCTTTCCGGCATCTATTAAAATAGTTTTTTGGAGGAAAAAATAAATAAATGGAGATAATCAATATAAAAATATAAGTCAATCACTTTAATAAAAAATCAACTGGTGGACACTGATGTATTCAAAATTAATGCAGTTTGACACCACTTTAGCCTCTATGGGCATAGGGTTGCAGCCTGTGTTAGATGGGGTTACACTCCCCCTGAAGACGCAGGTTCGCAGCTTGGGAGTGATCCTGGACTCATCGCTGAGCCTGGAACCCCAGGTCTCAGCAGTGGCTGGGAGAGCTTTTGCACAATTAAAACTTTGTGCACCAGCTGCGCCCGTACCTTGGGAAGTCGGATCTGGCCACGGTGGTCCACACTCTTGTTACATCCTGAATAGATTACTGCAACGTGCTCTACGTGGGGTTGCCTTTGAAGACTGTTCGAAAACTTCAATTAGTCCAACGGGCGGCGGCTAGATTACTCAACGGAGCATCATACAGGGAGAATACCACCCCCCAGCTCCACTGGCTGCCGATCCAGTCCGAGCACAATTCAAAGTGCTGGTTTTGACCTACAAAACCCTTTACGGCTCCGGCCCAGCATACCTGTCTGAACGTATCTCCTTCTATGTCCCACCTCGGAGTTTAAGATCTTCTGGGGAGGCCCTGCTCTCAGCCCCACCTGTATCACAAGTGAGGCTGGCGGGGATGAGGGACAGGGCCTTCTCAGTGGTGGCCCCTCGCCTGTGGAATGCACTCCCCGGGGAAATTAGGTCATCAACATCTATCCTCTCTTTCAGAAGGAAGTTAAAAACCTGGATGTGGGACCAGGCCTTCGGGTAAGCTGGCAGATGGACAAAAGACAATGACGACCAGAGTAGGAAAGGACAATGACAATGCTAGATGGATTATGGATTTATGAATTGGCGAACATTGACCACAAGATGATTTTATTGCTGCTACTGTATTGTTTTTGATTGTTTTAACTAGTCATAACTGTTGACACTATATTGTAATTTGTACATTGTATTTTGTGAATTGTTGGGCATCAAATTTTGCCTTTTGTAAGCCACCCTGAGTACCCCCTAGGGGGTTGAGAAGGGCGGTGTAGAAGCACCCCAAATAAATAAATAAATCACTCAAGCTGTAATTGTATAAGGTCTTTAGCCTTTTCTGTCAAAGAATGCTGATGTCTCACAAAACAATACATCCCAGGATTCCATACCATTGAGTAGAGTTGTGTGAGGATCAGTTTTCCTTCATTCGTTCTTTCGTTACTTTCATTGCCTTTGGGAGCACATAATGGGAAGCCCCCTCCTGATGCAATACTCAGTTTGACACGAAAGCATGTGGTAGTTGATCCTGGCTCCTCACCTGCTTTTAGTGAGCAGTGTCCTTGCCTTGGAAAGAGTGCGTGTGTTGCATGCAGGCCCAGAAAGCACATGCACCTGCCTGCAGCCGAGAGCCTCTTCTGAAACAGAACTTATTTCTTTGCCTTGTAAAAAGTGCGCATGTTGCATGCAGGCCCAGAAAGCACACGCGCCTGCCTGCAGCCGAGAGCCTCTTCTGAAACAGAATTTGACTCCTTGCCTTGGAAAGAGTGTGTATGTGATGTGCAGGCCCAGAAAGCACATATACCTGCCTGTGCCTGCAGCCGAGCACGCTCTCCTCTAGAGTAGAGAAACAGGTAAGAGAAGACTCCTTAAAGCGTGTGCCTGCCTGCAGCTGATCACCTTTCCTCTAGAGTAGAAACAACCTAAATGCCTAAAATGACAGGAAGGGGGGCCTAGGAAGCCCCCCCCCCAAATGGCCTGATAGAAAATGGATATTTTGGCACTCCAGACAGAGAAGAGATATCTGACCTCCCAATTTTGGGAGGCTCCCAAAAATGGAATGGGACCCCCACTGAAAGCTGGGACATGAAATGGGTCAAGCTTTACCATGGATTGCACAAGCCTAGTTTAGTGCATCATTCTTTAGCAGGGTGGGTCAAAGACATTTTAAAACTACAACTTGAGCCATGGAAGTTAAAGAAATATCAAACTGCATTGATTCTATAGTGTAGACATTCCCCAAAATATTCAGAGTGTACCCCCCAAAAAAACCCCAAAACCAAACCTAAACCAGTTCTATATGGACCATACAGACTATCCATAAAATGCTGAGAGTCAGCGCAGAGTACAATGACTTTTTAAAGTAACTTTGTGGGTTTTTTTCTTTAAAAGTTACAAGAAAAGGGCATTGCTACAGTAATGGTGTAAAAATGGTGTTGCCCCTCTATTTGAGAATTCTGCCCCCTGCACCCTGAAATTTCTTCAGCCCCCAAATTTCTAGCATTGTAAAGAGTGAGTACTAAACATCATTTGTTCACAGCACTGTTTTGTTTGCATTCCCTTTGTCACTTTGGTGGCCCTTTTGTTTGGATGTGTCTCAGTTAATACAGCCATTGACAGTGACGATATTTTTTTACAGTCTTTTTATGCTTACCTAGACCTCTCCCCTTTCTTCCTCCTCTTTTTTTATCTGAAAGGGCTTTTAGTAGCAAGAGTGGATGGTGACTGAGGGTTAGAGAAACATAGGCTTTCGGTGTGTTGTTGCAGAAGTGTGTCTGCAGTAAAGCATGCAATAAAGCTTGAGCTGGGTAGGAGCAAAGATTGTACTCCTGCTGACGCTATGGTAGCTAATGCTATGTGTTCCTGTCTGTAGCAGACAAGGTGAATTTTAACTGTCTCCAGAACCCCTTACTCATCATGTGTGGACAGCAAACCAGAGACAAAAGGAAAGAGCAGATAACCCTGTCTCGTCAGCTAATACCTGTATATATAAAAAGCAAAGAAGTGTAAGCTTGGCTACGAAATGGAGGCCATAAGAAAAATAGAGGGCGATGAAATGAACAAACAAACAAAAATCACCTCTCAATGAAATTGGGAAAGTTGGTTAAGTAACGTTTTACATATAAAAGGCTTCCCCTGACCTGGTTGTTTCATTCCCCATCTGCATAATAGCAGTTTTGAAACAAAAGTTCACTGAAACATGTTCAATTGCTTGTGTGTGTGTTTCCACTGTGCCTGACACAGTGAAGACACATACCCAGTGTAGAACACATCTCACCTAAAACAGTGGGTGTGGCTCTTTATGAGACATGCTGCATTATCACAGGATGTCTATGCCCTACACTACTGGAGAAATTATACTGTTTAGCTGGTATTGCACCACTTGACATCCGCCGGGGAGTAGCAGCCAATAATAAAAGGACCAAGGCAATGACATATCTGGCCCATCCCCTGTTCAGATATCAGCCAGCATACCAATGCTTTAAATCAAATAGCTTTCTAAGATCTACAGAGATACTCACAGGAACACCTCAGCAAGCGAGAGTCCAAAAGTGGCAGGCTAAAACCTGAAATCTCAAATCATGGCTGATACTGAATGAGAGACTCCCCCCCTGGGCACACAGAAGACTGGGCGACTTGGAAAGCGCTGAACAGGCTGTGCTCTGGCACCACGAGATGCAGAACCAACCTTAAGAAATGGGGTCACAAAATGGAGTCCATGACATGCGAGTGTGGAGAAGAGCAAACCACTGACCACCTACTACAATGCAACCTGAGCCCTGCCACATGCATAATGGAGGACCTCCTTATAATAACACCAGAGGCACTCCAAGTGGCCAGATACTGGTCAAAGGACATTTAATATAATGCCAAGTTTTTAAACTTCTCATATATATACATATATATATACATATACATATACATATATATGTGTGTGTGTGTGTGTGTGTGTCTGTGTGTGTCTGTGTAAACTGTACTCTTGGTTTGCTTCTGATATGATAAATAAAAACTGCTTGTGTGTTTGTGTATGGCATATGAACGTATTCTTATTTTTCCCCATGTTATTTTCGCCTTTGATGTCAAACATTCTGTTTAGAAATCATGCTCAGGAACTGTGTTGATGGAGGTTTATCTTATTTCCAAATTCTGAACTGAAGTTTTAAGTTCCTGTGAAGCTAGAAATCCAGGGACTAGTGGAAGATTCCAATCACGGGGAAGAATCCCTGTTTGGAAGGGGGTGCAATGGCCTGATATCTACATCCCAGAGTAAGAACTGATGTTTAGGAACAATTAAGCTTCATATGAAGTCTTAACCCATAGCAATTGACTTTCTGGCAGTGGGAGGATAGGGCTACAATTATCTTTCATAATCGTTATGGTTATCATTAGGATAATGGCATATGTCCAATTGCAAGGCATGAAAGCACAAATGCCCCTGTTATCCAAGGAAGCTGGGTGCATTTATTTATCTTCCCTCACTCCAGCCACGCTTTGTGCCGTGGTTGTTTTAGAGGAAATTTGGACTCATGCAATTCCACTCACATCTGGTAGACCAGAAAGGAGCTTTAAATGCAGCACGGCCAGGCTTGCTTGTACTCATTGATTTGGATCACTGACAAACAGAATACATTTGCCCTACTGCCCCTTTTCCATTTTGTTTAGAAACCAGTTAAATAGGTACACTATTCAAACACATCTGTGGCTTGTCGATTCTTATGAGGAGACTAGAAGTCTGGCTGTGCTCAGCTGAGACCCTAGAAAGGATAATACATGAGCAAACAAGCAAATGGTAGGATGCTCAGAGAGCTTTGTTTCCTAGGCAGGTGGAAAGCGCACAATGACTGTGGGAATGGGATTTATTTCGAGTCTTCTGCCAAGATTTCTGTTGAAACTAACATCTGGCTCAATTCACCCATGCCTATTCACTCTCACTAGCAAAAATATTTCCTGTCAATAAAGAAAGAATATTGCCTACATAGGCCTAAGTCCTGAGTAGACCAGTTCCACTAAATCAATGGAACTTACATGTGTGTTGACCTGAAAAGTTACTATTTGTTCAGTGCAGCTACTTTACTTGGATTAATAATAGATTTTGAGTCTCAGAGGCCTAAATATCCTAAAGGTGTCATATCTAATATAATCTTGGAAACTAAATAGAGTCATCCCTGTTACTACCAGGATGAGAGATCACCAA